CATTCCGCTCTCAGGTGGCTCCAGGGCCTTTTGTACCCTGTGTGATTACTAAATGCCACCGAGACACCCCCTCCGGGCGCTGGCTCCTCCTTGGCCTGCAGAGGGCAGTGGGCAGGAGGGAAGGTGGCAGCAGCCACTCCCATGTGCACCACCATCCTGGGCCTGGCGCTGGAGCCAGTATCCAGTGCCCCAGGCTCCGGCAGTGGCTGAGACCCTTCAGAAACAGGGACCCAGGAGACCCAGGTCAGAGCAACCTAGCTGGCCATGCCGTGAGCCCACAGGCTCTAGCCTGACTGGCATCCTGCACGACGGAGGGCAGTGTCAGGTGCATGGGTGAGGGGCCTGTGTTCTCCAGACCTCTGTCACTAGGACCCCTGAGGCTAGGCCTTGGCATCAGCAGCTCTAGCAGGAGGATGCCCCTTGTTTTGCCCAACTTGGGGCCAGGAGAGACACGGAGGGAATGGACCAGGCTGAGGGTCTCCAGAGCTTCCCTCATGCAGCAGGGGGCCAAGGCTCAGCAAGGGTGCTATGGCAGCTGCTGGACCCAAGGTTGGCCAGTGGTCTACACTGCCCCCAAAAGAGGGCTCCAAGCTCCAGAGACCATGGGAAAGGGCCACAGCTCTGCAGGACCTAGGAGCAGGCGTGGATGAGCATGAAGCCCTGCAGCCTGAGGTCAGTGCCCTGAGACACGACTGGACAGACAGAACCGGCTGTGATCCTGGGGAGCCTTGGCCCTGGGCCCAGGACCAACGGACCCTCGTTCAGGCAGAGGCCAGCCAGAGACCCACTGACCACTGGCTACTGACCATGGACAGGGGGCAGGTAGTACATGGCAGGATGCAGCCAAGCCCAGGGAGCCAAGGCTGAGTTATCTCTCCTGCAGTCCTCCATCCCATCAGAGGAAGGGGACTGGGACAGCGCGGACTCTGAAGCTGGGCCTGGGTCCCTTGGGTGGGATTTGTTTCCTAGTACCATGGCAGAGCAGCTTCCCTGCAGGGCCAGTGACAAAGCCCCACTGCTCATGGTCCCTAAGTCCAGCTCAGCAAGAGTCCCAGGAATCCTTCCTTCCTAAGTCACATCTGTCCTGCTGAAAGTCTATGCAGGGTCCCCTTCGAGCTAGGATACACCTGCCCCAGTGGCTCTCCCTCCTGGCCCCCAGCAACATCTCCCTTGGTCAGGCATGGAGCTGAGCCACATGGGGGTTACCTGTGAAGGCTGGGGCCAGAAGCCACCACAGGAGCCTGGAGAACCTGTACATGTGTGCAGGAGGCCGTGGAGATCTCTCGGAACACCTCTGTCCAGGCCATGTAGCCTAGCTCAGGTCTGACACTCTGGGCTGTCTTCCTGTCTGGGCTGTCCTCTCTTCTGTGAACTGAGGATGTGCCAGGACCCCTCTCCCCACTGCACTCCAGGGCAGAGCAGCCTCCTAACTGAGCTCCACAGTATCTGCCTTCCGAGCACACAAGGGTCCCTGCTGCCACCTCTCCATGGGAGAGCAGCCTGTGGGGACAGGCAGAGGCCTTCTGGCCCCCTTACAGCATAGTTGGCACTACAGTCATGGCCCCGATTGGCTTCACAGTAACATGACAAAGACAAGGGCCTTGGAGTGACTGTTGCAAGTGCTCCTCGGGGACTTGGAAGTAAATCCTTCCTTCTTGGTGTTCAGAAGTCCTTTTCTCAAAATGCAGTAGGCATTTTTTAATGTTTTAGCTCCTCCCAACAAAACGGAAACACTCAGCAGTCTTCTTTCAGTCCACCGATGATCATTAATATTTGACAAGCCCAGAAATCCAAACCTGAAATCAGGATTTGTTCAGATGCCTCAAAAGTCCTAAGATTTAGGGAGGCAAAGTAACTGCTAAGTACATATGGTTCCTGGCATCTGAAGGGTGCATTGCCCTCAGGTATGATGGTACCCACCGGCAGCTCTTCCTGCCCTAGACACACGTTCCCCACCCACCATCCCTGTCTACTCAGCCATCCTACTGCCCCCCACCCACATCCATCCGTCTTCTGTCCACTGATACACTCATCTGTCCTCCCGACCATCACCTACATATCTATCCATGTATCTGTCATCCACCAATCCATGCATGCATCTATCATCCATCTACCCCTCCCTCATCCATCTGCCCATCTCTCACCCACCCACTCACCCTTCATCGTCTGTCCACCTATGCACTGTCTGTCCAACCCAGACCCACTCCAGAGCTCATGTTGCCAAGGCTGACTAGTGTCCTTCTTCCCCCTACACTCTCCCTTGTCCACCATAGGCTCCCAGAGGCAGGTAACTCAGTACAACTCAATGCACAAGATCTGACTGAAACCAGCAGACCTTCCCACTAGAGGTAGAGAAGGCTTTACCTGGGCCCTCCTCTGCGAGGTAGGGACTCCCTCCATTGGACAGTGAGCCACCCACTCATCACCACCAGAACCACATCCTTCACCTTTCAGAAAGCCTTGTTGCATGCTACACTTTTAGTGTACACCTGGTGCTGGATCATGTAGACTCTCAGATCATGGATGAGTGGATGGATGGAGGCTGGGGGATGGGTGGTGAGTGGAGGATGAATCGTGACGGATGATGGATGGATGGTAGGTAGATGGTAGACGGATGGGTGGTGATTGATGGATAGATGGATGGAACGAAGGAAAAACGGATAATTGACACTTTGCATGCACTCAATCAATAATCGCTGCATGATACCATAGCAAGTCTCTAGGGAAGATGGCTTCCCTGGATGGATCTGTTTTTATGGAAGTTTTGTCACATAATTCCCTTCTTCCTTTCCTTATATCTGACTAACAATGTGGAAAGAGTCTTGAATCTGAACAGGCTTTCACTAGCCAGAAAAGTATGGAGGAACTTTTTAGTAGCACAGTTATTGCTGGCCACATAAAGCCAAGCTTCAGCATATAATTTATTTTCTTTCCTTGCTACAGAGCTTTCTTCTTTTCCCTTGAAGGGAGCTCTTTCTGGATTTTCCTTGGCATAGCCAAATGGCCAGCTTTATTTTTCCTGTGCTTTAAGGCCAACATTAGGTAAAAGAAGGGTTGCTTGAACACACGTACCATGATATTGCAACTGTTGGCCTGATAACATGGGGGCACTAGGTGATGAGTGTAGGACATCCAGGACAAGCCACATCTTGGGGGCACAGAGCAGGATGGCATGAGATTTCGTCACACCACTCAGAACAGTGCCACTTAAAACATGTGAAGTGTTTCTTTCTGGAATGTTCTACACAATATTTTTGGACTGTGACTGACTTTGGGTAGCTGAAACCTCTGATAAGGAGGGGCCACCATAACTCTAGATGAACTCTGTGTGAGGGACACTATGCATTTTTATCCAGCCACCTATTGGTGGACAGGTGGGCTCGCAGTCCAGGGCTGTTGTCTTAGTGTACTCCTGTTGTATTTGCTTCTGAGCCCGTGCCTGGGAATCAGCTTCTCCTGCAATAGGGACCCAGGTGGTGGGTGTGTGCCTAAAGTTCTCCAAGGGAGGGAACCCATGTTCCCTTTACCCAGCTGCATATGAGGCTGCTGGTCTCTCCATACCCTACCACCCCTGTGGATCTGGTGTCTTGATTCTGACCATCCTCCTGGGAATGATGTGGCCTTGGTTGCATCTGGTTTGCATTTCTCCATGAGTGGCGTTGAGAATCTTCAAGTGCCTGTTGACCCTGGTGTGATTTTGTCTATTTATTTAAGTTTTAATGAAATATAGTGATTGCACATATTTTTGAAGCACAGAGTGATGTTTCAGTATAGGAGTACATTGTATAATGATCAAATCAGAGTTCTTAGCATATCTACCCCTCAACCATTTATCATTTTTTGATGAGAACATTCCAAATCCTCTTCTAGTTATTTTACAATATATTACAAATTATTGTTCACTGTAGTCACCTGTGATGGTCTGGACCTAAAATCCCCTAGGGGTCCAGTGCTGAAGGCCCTGTCCCTAGTATGTCAGTGTGTGGAGGTGACTGTCGTGGGGATTCAGAACAGCACGGACTTGTAGGAGGGAAGCGGCGCCTGACTGGAATAGGTCACTGGGGTTTACACGTCCCCATCCCCTTTGTGACTCCCTCCCAACCTCCTACCCACCATAAGGTGGTTGATCTGTTCCCCACCATGATGTTTTGTCTCAGTACAGGCCCAGAAGTGACAGCCCGGTGACCATGGCCTGGAACCTTGGGAACCATGAGCCAAAATAACTCCTTCCCCACTTAAGTCGATTTTGTCAGATAGTTTGTCACGGAAACCAAAAGCTAACACATCACTCAGGATTTATTCCCCTTATCTAAGTGCAATTCTGTACTTTTCTTCTTCCTTTCCCACTTTCTACTTTTATGAGATCAAGTTTTTAGCTCCCACAACATGTGTTCTGATCTCTCTGTCCCTAGTTTATTTCACTTAACAACTACCCACATTGTCACAAATGACACGTTTCCATCCTTTTTTAGGGCTGAGCATATCTCACCGTACATATTACAATGTACATACACTATAGCCAAGACAGCATGGTGCTAACATAAAAGCTGACCAGTGGAACAGGGGTCAGAAATAGATCCACACATCACCATTTGATTTTCAACAAAGGCCTGGAGAATGTATGCTGGGGAAAGGACGGGTGTTTCCATACATAGGGCTGGGAGCCTGGGATCCCACATGCATGCAGAAGAATGAAAGACAGCCCTTACGTCTCGCCATATACAAAAATCAGCTTTGACCGGACCAAACACTTCGGTGGAAGGCCTGAAACTATGAGACGACTAGCAGCGAGCAGAGGCAACACTTCAGGACATCAACGGGCAAGGATTTTGTAGATGACACCCTCTGCAGCTGCTCTCCTTCTCCTCTGTCCTACCTCCTCTGTCCTCGTGGGTGCCCATGCAGCCACTCCCTGCCCTGCTACCCCATCTCTCCTCTCCCCACAGCCACCCGGGAGTCTGCCTTTGTCCATGCCATCGCTTCAGCTGGTGTGGCCTTTGCTGTGACCCGCTCCTGTGCAGAGGGCTCGGCCACCATCTGCGGCTGCAGCACTCGCCACCAGGGCACCCCGGGTGAGGGCTGGAAGTGGGGTGGCTGCAGCGAGGACATCGAGTTTGGCGGGATGGTGTCCCGAGAGTTCGCAGATGCCCGGGAGAACCGGCCAGATGCCCGTTCAGCCATGAATCGCCACAACAATGAGGCTGGCCGCCAGGTATGTCCCAGCCACGGGAGCTTCCTGGGCAGTGGTATCTGTGGTGGCGAGGCCAGAGGGCTGCTCACCCACTGCCCAGGGACGTGTGAAGGCCAGGGCCGTCTGCTGCATTCCTCCAGGGTGACAAGCACGCTTGTGCACGCAGGGTCATGGGAAAGAGGAGGGCTACGGCCTGGCCTGCCTGGCTCAGGGAGGGAGACAGTGAGGCAGCTATGGAGCTATGGCCAGGGTTTCTGCCACGAGGAGGTTCATACATAGGTGACCAGACACGGGGAGGGAGACAGAGATAAGAGAAGAGGGATCGATGAGATAGATGGGTAGGTGGATGGATGGAGGGACGGGAGGGACGATGGATGGTGGATAGAATGGACAAGCAGACATGACAGAGACGATAGGTACGTTGCTAGATTGACAGATGCTCATGAGACTGTGGAAAAGAGAAGAATTGATGGCAACAAAATTTGGAAAGCTGCCACCTTTCTGCCGGAGGGTAACTGGGCCCGACACTGGGAAGTCCAGGAAGACAAGTGATAGCTCACCGTGAGATGTACTTGGTGTCTCTCAGGACAGAGATACTTCTCACCCTGATCAAAGAACAAACTTCCAAATACAAGGCTGCTCATGGTATTAGCACGTCCTGAAATTGAGTTTTTAAATCAGTGGAGGAGAATCTGAGGTTCGATCTAGGAATTTTAGCATTGGTATCTTGAGAAGTAAAGATGACTATGGGTGTGGAAATGGGAAGATTGATGGAAAATCTATTTTTAAAGCCTTCTATAACCCATTGGCAGAGCTCCAGTAGCATGGTTGGTTAGCTCGTGGTACTGATGTAACCCACTGGCCTCTGCCCAGCTTCTTGTGGGAGCATCCTCTCCTGTGTCAGAAGCTGGAGGTTTATTCTCTGCAAAGGATGTGAGGTGACTGGTCTGAGGGGCACCAGGCACATCTGAGAGTGAGCTGCCACAGTGGAAATGGTCTTTCTCTGCATGGAAGTTCAGACCTCCATCTCTCTTCCTGACCTCCCAATGCTGGGCAGAAGGAATGGCAGTTCTCCTCCAGGAATCCAACCAACCCAGAAGGAAAGGCCTAAGATGCTAAAGCAGGGAAAGCCGCAACAGAGAAAGGCAGTCAAGCCTATGACTCATGTCTCCAACCCCTCCATGCACATGGGCCTCCAGTAGGATGTCTAGTGCCCAACTTTTCATCATGAGCTGCATCAACAACAGGAAGAGGGAAACACAGACACACACACACACACACACACACACACACAGAGCTCACAGGAAAGAGTGATGTGATGGGAAGGAGAGATGAAAGGTTCAAAAAATGTCAGTATCCCCAAAGTATAAGACACTGTGTCCGTGATATTGGAATAGGAATATTAATTTTAAAGAATAGTCAGGAAAAAAAGACATAAGAAAAAAGAAAAAATTAAAAATATAACAAAAACAAAAATCTCAGAGGAAAGTTGAAACTCATTCCTTCCCACAAGGTAGACAAAAAGACAGAGATGAAAACTGATGAGGCAAAGACAGAAAATTTGGAGTGTGTCCACCAAGAAAGAGAAGAACGAATACAAGGAGGAGAAAGTTAATAAAGAAAGAAAGCAGGAGGTTTCCTCAGAACTGAGGTTCTAGAGCACATCGGCCCAGTCAGTAGGTAAGCCACAGAGAGGGAAGAACCTTGAAACAAAGTGTTATGAAATTCAGAGCCCACCCCATGGAGAAACCCTCCAAGCTTCAAGGAGAATGTTTGGATTTCATGCAAAGGATCAGGAACAAAACTGGCATCAGGCTTCTCAGGATGAACAGTGAAACCTCGGAGAACATAAGATCACACCTTTGGGAATCTGAGGGACAAATTGGTCTTCACTTCTTTGGAAAGCCCCCACTGCAAATGAGGGAATAACATGCATGTCAGATGCAGTGCCCCCCCCCCCGGCACAGTGGGGTTGGGGGTGGCCCCACACCACCACACAAGCCTGGGGCCAATGTGGGGGGGCTGGACCCAGAGCCTGGCGAAGGTCTTCCACCAGTACTGGCCAAAACAAACACAACAGGAGCCACAGGCAGAGCCACACAGACAGGGGAGATTATCCAGTAGCCACACTGAAAGAAACAACAGGCGAAATCCATGTTGATGTTATAATTCATTTGAACTCTATTAGTCTGCTTTTTGTTGTAACAAAATGCTGGGTGCTTTACAGAAAAAAGAGGTTTCTTTATCTCACAGTTTGGGATGCTGAAAGCCCTCGAGGGGTGGGTGGCCCCATCCACGGTGGGGTGGATGCACGAGGTAGGAGACATGGGTGAGGGAAGACAGCACTGAGACAGGCCTTGGGGAAGGGCCAGACCCCACCCCGCCCCACCCAGGAGGGCTCCTCCACTCCACTCCCGCTGTACATAGACGGGAGCAGGGGGGGGCACGGGCCCCAGGAAGGGTGAGGAAACCCGAATCCCCGGAAGGCTTGGGGAGCCTGGCCATGTGTCGCCAGGAGCCCTGGGTCCCCTGCAGGCTCGGGAGGGCCCTGCCGCGCAGCCACCCCAGGCCCTGTAGGCCGAGGCAGGCCGGTGCTCACGAAGCTCGCGCCCCTCGGCAGGCCGTCGCCAGCCACATGCACCTGAAGTGCAAGTGCCACGGGCTGTCGGGCAGCTGCGAAGTGAAGACCTGCTGGTGGTCGCAGCCTGACTTCCGCGCTGTGGGCGACTTCCTGAAGGACAAGTACGACAGCGCGTCTGAGATGGTGGTGGAGAAGCACCGCGAGTCGCGTGGCTGGGTGGAGACGCTGCGGCCGCGCTACACGTACTTCAAGGCGCCCACCGAGCGCGACCTGGTCTACTACGAAGCCTCGCCCAACTTCTGCGAGCCAGACCCCGAGACCGGCTCCTTCGGCACGCGCGACCGCACCTGCAACGTGAGCTCTCACGGCATCGACGGCTGCGACCTGCTGTGCTGCGGCCGCGGCCACAACGCGCGCACCGAGCAGCGCCGCGAGAAGTGCCACTGCGTGTTCCACTGGTGCTGCTACGTGCGCTGCCAGGAGTGCGCGCGCGTGTACGACGTGCACACCTGCAAGTAGCGCGCCTGCGCGGGGCAGGCGCAGAGGCCGCCGGGAGGCGCCGACCGCCCCGCCTCTGAGTTGACCGAGAGCGGGCGCGGTGCGTCACTCCTCGGCCTAGGAGTCCCGCCTTCCCGACCGGGACCTTCCGAAGAACGCCTGCAGCCCCCGCTCAACCACCGAGCTGTCCGGGAGAAGAAGGACGCCTGACCCTGCCCTGCACCCCACCGGCAGCCCGGACGCTGCTCTGCTGCTGCCCAGCTGTCCCAGCTCTCCGGTGCCCCTGCCGACCCCACGGCGTTGTGAGCTGCTGGGAGACGAGGGCTTCAGCGCACACTCAGGCTGCGGACGGAGGGCCCGAGCCTGCAAGAGAGCGGCCGGTCCAGGACAGCTCTGCTCGGCCTGCCACTGTGAATTTTTCCCTCCGGGTAGGGAAGGGATGGGCCAGAAAGGGCAGCTGCCCGTCCTTCCCTGGCGTTGGAATTGGGGGTGTTAATTTTATATCTGTTGCTGCTATACCTACCTTCCACTGGAGTTAGACATGTTTCATTTTGATTTTCTTTTCTTTCTATGAAAGAAATTATTTTACTGATAAAACATGAGTTTTGAATAATGGGGAAAGTTGAAGAAACAACCTAGTAAGTCTGTGGCTTGTGCTGGAGTTTTTCCTTTTATTTTGCCTATTTTATTTTTTATTAACATGTATTAATTGTACATATTAACAAGGCTGGCTGTGATGTTTCCACACTTGCAGGTGCTATGCTCTGGTCAGGCTGGGTAGTTAGTGTTTCCTGCCCTCGAATTTGCTGATGGACCTGGAGTAGGCACAGAGAGACAAAGGCAGGGTTTCAGGAGGAGGCATGCTGGACAGCTGAGCCCCAGAAAGCAGGTGCAGGCCAAGCTGGGGAAAGCGTGGAGTTGAGCCCAGGGTAGAGTTGAGCCCAGGGTAGGGAGTGGCACAGCCTTCGTTCCCAAGAGCCAGGAGGGGGTAGGGTGAAACCCCTTTGAATCCTGGTGTGGAGGGTCACCAGGACCCTGAGGTAGGACTGGCTACCAGGGTGTCCTGGGTCCTCACCCTTGGGGGATGGATGGGTGGCCTTGCCCTGAGAGCCCCGTGCCCATCGGCTTTCCCAGATGGCCCACACCTGCTCAGTCAGCACACTGGTTGCGCTGTGGAGACTGGGGCCTCTGCCTGTGGAGACTGGGACCCGTCCAGGGTCTCTTGCCCTCTCTGCTCCTCCGTGCCTGTACCCCAACTGTCCCCACCTCCATGGCAGGAAGGTCGCCTGAGAGCCCTGGGAGCAGGAGGTCCATGCTGCCCCCATGGAGCTGAATAGGAGCCAGGATGCTGCCCCTGGCAGAGCAGGGAGGAGACGCAGTGCTCCCCCATCTTCCCAGGGGACAGTGCTGGTCTAGAGGAGGTGGGAAAACAGCCACCTGGAAGTCCCACAGCACCCTGGGGTCTGGCTGGAGGGCAGCTAGCCTGATGCCCGCCCCGAGCCCATGACCCCCTCCCTCCCCTGGGTCCCTTGGGGCCTGCTGCACCCCACACTCCTGAGCCAAGCATACCCCGGGTCACTGGCTTCCAGGCCTCTGTGACCTATGCCAGGTGGGATGGAGTTGGCGCCGCTCTGTGAAGAGGAGGCAGGAAGACAGTTGTCCTCTCTGGCTCTGGGAAGTGAGTCACCAGCAGGAAGGGACCAATCCTGGGCCATGGCCCTGAGGGGCAGTGATGGGCCTCTGTCAGGCCAATCCCACAGGCCCCACAGTTTCTGAGTTGCTGCCCTACTTGGCACCTGCTGGGGTGCCAAGCTGGAAGCCCCATGAGAAGGATGGGTGTGGCTCTGATGGGCGGGTGGGCAGAACAGCAGGGCAGAGTGCTTCACAGACAGAGATGCCTGGAGCACGGCTGTCGGCCCTCGGGGGAGCAGGCCCACACATCCACTCACAGACAGCCCACGTGGACTGACATGCGGGCTATCTGCCTCTGCTCTCAGGACAGGACAATGCTGGCCCCCGAGTGCTCGAGGGGTCTCCATGATGATGGTCTTAGTGGTCCAGAGGGAAATACTGGGCTGGCTGTCCCCAGCATCCTGGGGTGCACAAAAGGCAGATTCCACAAAAAACTGACCAGGAATGGGGCATCTACAGCCGTGGGCCCAGTTCATAGCCCTTGAGGAACTGGGTGTGGGTGGATGAAATCAGCCACCCTTTGGGTCTCAGTTCCCTCAGAGGTAAGAGGCCTTGAAATAGCAGCTCTCCAGGGGTTCTGCTGGCCTGAGCAGTCTCCTTTTGCCGCTCCTCTGGGGATTTACAGCCCCCTCCACCACCCCAAGGAGGAAATGAGCTGGCCAGCCCATTCGCAGGTAGTTGAGACAGCCCACGAATAACCATATGAAAGGCACGGAGGTAGGGGCTGTTGTGGCCCAGCCCCCTGCAAATCTCACACTAGGGCTTTGAAGTCCTGGAGGGGTGTGGCCCGTCCCCACCTGAGCCCTCCCCTCCTCTCTGCCACCTCTCCTGCACTCACCCTTTCTGGGTTCTGGGGCTTCAGTTCCCGTCCCAGGATGCACCCCAGCAACATTTGGGTGGTAGGTGTGTGAGGTAAAGGTGACTAGTCTGTGACTAGAGGGTCCAGGCCAAGTCACAGGGCGCGAGCCACTGGGGCAGGAGGCAGCCAGGAAGGAGTCCGGAAGTCTCTGGGGCTGGAAGAGGGGACAAGCTTCTGCTTGGAGAGGGAGAGAACTAGGACCTCCTCCAGAGATGGCCCAGTCTGCTATGTGGGCCTCAGTTTACAAATCTGCATGGCCACCGATGAGTCTGGCAAGGCTGGCCTAGCGCCAAGGTCCACTGAGAAGGGGACCTGTAGCTTCACCCCCAGAGCCGGCTGGGCTAGCATGGGAATCTCTCTGTGGTATTCAGCATCTCATTGGCTGCAGAAGTGAGCATGGACCCACACCCCTGAGCTCAGAGCTGGGGTCCTCACCATGGGCTCCCTGGTGTCAGGCAGAGCTCAGCGGGTGGACCTGGTCCTCTTGGACCAAGTTCCAAGAGGGAACCTGGAAGGGGCTCGGAGAGGTTTCAAGGCAACCAGAGCCCACTGCACTCTGCCCAGAGCTCTTACCACAGCCCCTGCCCTCTGACCCCAGGGTCTTACCCTTCCTGAGCGCCTCTACCTGCCCAGTGACACAGCCTACCCTGGGGTCTGTCAGATGGTTGGGGACAGGGCAGGGACTCACACCCACTCTTCCCCAGGGACCTGCCATTCTCCCTAGAGGGTTGCCTGGAACAGGATCTTTCAGACTACAGCCTTGGGCTCAGCACTTCTCCCCAGAAGCCCATGGTGGGACCTGGGCACCCCTCAGACACCCCTGCAGCCTTGCTGGGCCAGGCACACCAGCCAGAGTACAGGCCCAGTCGCAGGGTGTAGCTTTCAGGTGACACCCCAGGCTTCTCTGAGAGGTGAGTTGCATCCCTCTGGGTGCCTGCTAGATCACTGCAGGGCCAGGAGCCTGCTGCCCTCTGAGAAACCGTGGCAGATGCCAGGAGGGTGGAGGCAGGGAGTCCAGAGAAGCCTGGATGGAGTTCCCAGCCCAGCCGGGTGCCCAGGCGCTGGGAGGGCTGGACTGTCAGAGCTGCTAATTGCTGTTTAGCTCTGAGCCCTCTGTGCTGGCCTTTTCCCTCCCTCTCCCTGTCTTTCTCTCACTCACTTTTTATTTGAGCTTTCACAGCACTTGGTAAATAGTCATTTGGCTCTCAGGGCCCTGCAAATTGGTGTTTATGGTGCAAAGACAGGGAGGGCCGGTCTCCCAAACCCCAGAGGAAGGAGGGAGGCTAGGGAGGCAGAGAGTGCACCTAGGCAAGGCAGGAGCGTGGCCCAGGTGCAGCCTTATTCATCCCCCTCCACGTGCCCTAGCTCCTGGCCAAGCAGGATGGATGCAGGAACTCGAGGCCTCAGTGCCGGAGGAGGCAGTGGGAATGGGAACTTCCCGGGCAGCCACTGCCAGGAGAGGCAGGCAGGCCCAGACAGAGCCCCATGCTCTTGGCCAGGGGATGGCGTGGGCCACACCTCCCCTTCGTCCTTGTGTGAGCTCTAGGGAGGCCAGTGGGTGGCTGATGTTTGGAGTAGACCTGGGGACAACATAGGCTTCTTCCCCAAGTGTTTTTATTTTCCAGATCTGTGTCAGGCCCTGTGGGAGACAGGCTAGGTGGCCTTGCTCTAGTCCTTGACTTAAGAGGCTTCCATGGCTTCCCAGTGGCCATGGGTAGAGTCTAGGTTCTTAACTTGTGCCCCGTGGTCTGGTGCTACAGGGTCATGTATGACCTCTGATTGTGGAGCTGGAAGCTGAACCCCAGGCAGGGACTTCAGCTGGTGCCTTCCTGTCCCACCCACAGCTAACTCAGCATCGACCCTTCAGCCTTGGACGTCCTGGACCTCCATGCCAGTTTTTCACTTCCCTTGATAGGGTCATGTCCTCTGACCTTGTTTTCCAGATCCTGCTCAGACGCTTCGAAGATGCCCACCAACCCCAGAACTAACTCCAGCCCCTTGGCTGCTTCTGCCTACTGCCTGGAGCCCATTATCGTCCCAGGGACCCTGGAAGGGGCCTGGAAGGACCTAGGAACCTGGAACTGACTAGCAGGGTGGCTGCTGCTGTCCTGCCTTTCTCAGGACCACCGAGCCCTCCAGCTCAGTGGCATCCCAGGAGCAAGTTGAGTGAGCCACAACTACATTGTCAGAGCCCAGCAGGGGTGCCCCATGATCTAGGGTGGGAGGGTAAAGGTGGGGTTCCCTGGGCATCATGGGCAGCTCCCAGCTCCCGGGACAAGGCAGGACAGCAAGGGACAGTGCAAGAGGAACACGAGGTCAGGGCAGGGTGAGTTGGGCTGCAGCCATGGAGCCCTCCCCAGACAGGACTGGGCCAGCACTGGATGTCCTCCCTTAGAGCCCCTTATGGCTCTTGCCAGGCCAGGCTCAGAGAGGACAGTGCGCAGGTGTTCCTGGACACTGGCCACAGAAGATGCCTGGGAGGAGGATCAGAGCTGCTGCTGGTGCTAAATGGAAAAACCTCCTCTGTGCCCAAGCAGGTGGCATTGCCAGGTTCTTCTGGGCACTCACCTGTTGGAGGTCACCTTTGAGGTCACCAAACAGCCACTCCAGGGACTTCCCAGCAAACCACAGACTACCAGGTCCTACAAACAAGCTTGCTTCATGGTTGCTATTGGGGATAGTGCAGGTGGGGCTGGGGCCAGTGTGACACGGCCATGTGCTGCCATTGTGCTCCCTGCCTCCTGCCTCCCAGCCTGGCCTGGCATCCAGGTTAAGTGTTTCCTCCTAGGCTTCCTGCCACCCTGTCTTGGTTCTGATCCCCTATGCCAGCCAGGCAGTAGGTGGACAAGACCATCTCTACTTTAATTCCCTTCCTGACCCAGCCAGCTCAAGAGAGGGCATGGGAAGGGCCAGAGTACCTTATGAGTCTCCCAGGCGCCTGGGGTCTACGAAGACCCCTGGGCTGCAGGGTATTCTGGGTACTCCTCATGGAGCAGGCTGCCAGGTGCACCCTCCCCGGGCCCATGCTAGCCCTAGCCAGTGTGACACTCAGCCAACCCACCCTGACCAGCATCCTCTGGGTGGTTTTGCAGATTTTCTTTTCTTGTGGATGAAGCTTAGTTTCTCTCAGGGGACAGATCAACCCTGCAGTCAGTTTCCCTGAGTCCTCTCCCACCTGGCACCTGCTGGGCCCTCAGCCCATGCCAAGATGGGTGCAATGGCCCTAGGTGGGCTACCAGCCCCTCTGTGGGATCTGTCCATGTCTCTCCCTCTGCTATCTCCCCCAATGTGTCTCTTCATTGCTGCCAAGCCCAGGAAATAGGAGCCCCCCCCCACACCTGGCCGGCAGTGCAGCCAGCCCCTCTGCCTGGAGCCGGGGAGGACAAGGCTCAGCCTGCACAGCTCCCTCGATGATGGGAGCCAGCCCGGCTTCCCACATGGGGACACAGGCAGTCGGGGGTCAGGACATCTGAGGAGCAGCGGGCTCCTGCGGTCCTGCATTGAAGTGAGTGAGGGCTGCGGGATTGGAGGGGAGCTGCTTTGCACAGATGTCGGGGTGGGGCCCTGCTGGTGGGCGCTGGCGGCAGATGCCTTCAGCTGGGCTTTGTAATTAACCTCGGCTGGCAGCTCCAAAGAGCCCCAATTAAGCAGAGAATGCGATGGCAGAGTGGGGTCAAAGACGGGCGGGTTTAATTAAAGTGCAGTGGCCTGGGCAGGAGCGCCCCCGCCCGGTAGCTTCCTTGCCCTGTGCTTTCCATGCAGTCAACTGACAGGCTGTGACAGGGAGCCTGGCGCATTGGGAGGGGTGGCCCCAGGCAGGAAGCCCCTGTCTGAGCCACCTTGTCCCCTTGTCCCTGTTTGTCACCTGCCCTGCAGTGACATCATCCGCCAGCTGCCAGCTGTTCAGTAAGCACATCTCTAACATCTATAGGGTCCCCAATTCAAATTCACTCAAGAGGCCTAGGCAGGAGAATTGCTGAAAGTTCGAGGCAAGCCTGGGCAACATAGTGAGTGCAGGGCCCATCTGAACTGTAGAGCAAGACCCTGTTTCAAAAAAAGAAAAAAAAGCCGCAAATAACCCATCCAATGTGCAAACGTGATGACATGAAGCATCACAGGCAGAGAAGCAGGAAGGCAGGTCCAGCCAAGAAAGGGGGCAGGAACCCACAGGAGAAGTTGGCATGTGCAACTTGTCGGGCCCAGCAGATAAAGCTGGGTGCTAAAGGGCCAGTGTAGCTGAAACCAGCAAGCAAGTGTGTGAGGGAGGAGGGCTGTTTCCCCAGAGGACAGGAGAACAAGCAACCAGCCAGGAAAAGACACCTCGTACAACCCGCTGCCAGGGAGGTGCAAATCAAGACCACAGTGCAATACTGTCATCGTTGTCACACACACACACCATGTCCTGGCTGCTGTCAAAACACCGAGCAAACAAGAGGCTACTGTTGTCAGTGAGCGTGTGCACACGTTGGACCCCCTGTGCACTGCAGGAGGCGTGCAGAATGGTATTCCTCAGGGGAGAGCAGTGCAGCCATTCCTCCAGAAACTAGAATCGCCGCAGGATCAAGCGACTCCACTTCAGGGTATTGCAGAAAAGAGGACACACCCTGTGTCCACTGATGAACAGGTAAGGGAAATGTGGTCCCCCAGATAAGGGACGATTGCTCAGCCTAGAAAAGGAAAGGAATTGTGACACGTGTTGTTGCACAGATGAACTCCGAGGTTGCCATGCTCAGTGGAAGAAGCCACACAAGTGTGCACATGGGCACACATGCTGCACAAGCCTGTTCATAGGGGCCCAAGAGTTGTCAAATGCCTGGAGATAGAAGTTGAATAAGGCTGACAGGGCTTGAGGAGGAGCTAGGAGGGAGCGTCTATGAGGTTCAGAGCTTCCATTTGGGCAGATGAGACGGTCTGGAGACAGAAGGCCTGCTGGGCACCGAGAAAAAAGGTGAGGGTTCCCTCCCTCCACTGCAAAAGCCCACTGCAGGGGTCCCAAGTAAAGTCTTACTGTGCTTTTTTGAAAAATGTTAACAAGGTAAATTTTGTGTTACAGTATTTTACCAGAGTAGGTGGAAGAGAAAAATGAGAGGGCAGTGGATATAAGAAGTTTAAGCTTCTCTCAGAGGACAGAGCCTCCCACTCCTGAGCAGAAAGGGACTCAGCCAGGAGCTCGGTGCCTTCCCCCAACCTCCCAGGTCCCTGGGGACCCGACGTCAGGTCCCTGGGGAAGGTCCTGGGTGCCTTGTTTGAGGATGCGAGTAGCTTCAAGAGGTGGGCCCTGCACAGGCACTTGTGCTGCCCCAGCAGCGCCAGTCAAGGTGTAGCTGCAGGGCCAACATTCTCCACGCCTGGCTTCCCCCAGACACAGGCTCTGGGAGTGACGAGTGAGGACGGGGTGGAGAGCTCTTTCAGGGCTGAGACAGCCAGACCCCCACCTGGCCTGCCCCGCTCAAACCTGAGCACCACCCTGATAGGCTCGGTGCTGGGGGCTTCCCTAGTTCTGCTGGGTTCCAGTGAGGGGTCCCAGATTGAGGCTTTGCTCCCCACACCAAAGCCTTGAAGGCAGCAAGCTATTCAAAGCTGCACTCCCAGCTGATCGGCTGCCCATACTGACCGAGCAGGCACACACCCAGGTGGACAGCCAGGTGGCCACCTGTGAGCACTCAGCCGCCCTTGGATATGTATGCAGAGCCCAGGTGCTGAGGCATAGGGAGGGCATGTACCCTCCACAGTCTCTCCAGGCCCAGAGACCCTGACTCCTGGCCCAGCTGCAGGTTCACATGGACAGGTCTGCCTCACTACAGCGAGGGGGTGGCTGAGAACGGCGCAGCTGGCCCTGTCCCAGGTGTGCAGGCCAGGGGAGGCAAGGGCAGGGAATCCCTCACAGGGCCCCAGTGAGGCCCGCACCTGCCTCTCCCGCTCCCGGGGCCCTCACTCTGGCCTCATCTCACCTTCAGTGGGCCTCAAATCCCCCTCTCCTTTCTCCCTCAAGGATGAGGGTTCAGGGCCCAGTCACGTCCAGGGTGTTCTCGTCTCTGATTGTTCCTAATGCTACCCATCAGACCCCATTCCCAAACAATGACCCCTCAGAAGTGCCAGGTGAACAAGGTCTGGGGGGATCGGGCAATAAACCAGGAGCCACCCCCTCCTTTGACTCACCCAAGACCCCAGCCTGGACAAGCAGGCCAGGTGTCCTCCTGCAAGAGTCCAGCACCCTTGCAGCCACATGCAGTGAGGCCCCGAGGTCTGGATACCCAGGGCTGGGAACAGCATCCACAAGGGTTGTTTATGCCACAGAGGCTCCCAGGTACTTGTCAGCAAGCAGTGGAGAGCGGGTTGGTTTGGAAGTGTCCCTGGAACTCAGGGATGCACGGATGCTGCACAGAATCTGGAGGTGGGCTTTGGGGCAGGACGAAGGTTGGACCAGATCACAAGATGCCCTAGATGGCACTGGTGGCTTTACAGGGAGAGAAAGAGGCCCGAGGTAGCAGTTTTCCAAGGTGTCCGTTGGTGGCTGAAGACTTGGACAGGCTCCAAGCTGCTGTCAAACTGCTCCCCTAGTGGAAACCGAGGGAGGCTTCGTTTCTACTTCTGGATGTGGAAGTCCATAAGTATTGAAGTTCACGTGTGCAGGCAGCAGACTGGGATCTCATCTTCCCTGGGACCATTGAGGTCTTGGGACTTGGCTGACCAGCCCTATTCCCCCAGAACCTTGGTCACCCTACTGCAGGTGAAAGGGCAGGGCCAGGAGATGCTCCAGAGCCATCATCCTGATAGGCAATTTTGAGGACAGGAAGTGATGTTCCAGGGGCACCACAGCCAAGAATCTGTGCTTACCTGAGGCTTGCGGTGGGCTGTGTATTGGGACCTGAAATGGAGGGGCTCTGGGTCTCACTTGGGTGAGGGCTGCACCCACACATTCATTCAGCACAGCTGGTGTACTGTGCATTTAATACATAAGATGCTTTGCCATGCATGTCCTTCTGCACAATTGCACCTGAGTTTATAAACAAAGACCTCAGGTGAGGTCCAGTCCTAGGGCTTCCCTGCTCTGGACACCTCCTGTCCTCTGGCCTCAGTCTGCTCATCTTTGGGGTGGCTGGCTCAGGATTGGAGAAGAGACAAAAGGTCCCCAACTGGATGGGAGCCAGAACAGATCTCTCCTGGGCCTTGGACTCGAAGACTTATGATGCCAAAAGGCATAGGGTTTTCTCTCCATCAGCCAGTGGGGCTGGGGCTGTGACCAGGCTGCAGGTGATTACTTTGTCTACCACTGTGGGTGCACAGGAGGTTCTGGGAGTGTGGGGCCTGGGCTTCCCAGAGCCCATCCTACACCT